CGATATAATCCGACGTAATCCGACAGTCGGATCGAATCACCTGGGATATCATAAAGGAAGTCCAAGAAAAGATGAGGAGAGAAAATCAACCAAAACTGAACATGTTCAGATGGAATGGGAGAATACTGATATCAAAGTGAGTTTTAGTAGCGTTGTCAAAGTATTCTAGTGTTTCATTTATATGTGAAGGAAGCATATGAATTGTATAATGTATGTTTTGTCTGCTATGTACCAGAGTTCGATTCCGATCGGATCATACTATGTTGACTGATGATGAACTTTACAGAAAATAAACGGCAATTTTAGATGATATAAAGATATCATTCTTTCCAATTTTGAGAGAGCTCAGATGAATTCAACCAAAAAACAGGGTGTGGGTGTGGGTGTGTGGGTGTAAATGTGGGTGTTGATTGCGAGAAGAAAAGCACCCACACCCATACCCATACCCATAACCACACTCATACCCACACCCACACCCACACCCACCCACACCCCACACCCGCACCCATCCACACCCACATCCGCCCACATCTAAATCCACACCCACATCCCACACCCACACCCACCCACACCCACACCCACCCCATACCCATATCCCACACCCACACACCCCCCACCCACATCCAACCCCATCCACACCCTTTTGGCACAAATCGAGTTTCCTGAATCATTGCTAAACAAATTTTATGTTAAATCAGGAGTGGAATAGTGACTGAGTTTTTCTTACAAGTACCGATCTAAATAGTCAGATCAAATCGAATAGGTCTGAGGTATTCTTCTTCTTTTTTGACGCTATAACAGTCAAATCAAACCTTCAGTTCGTCATAATCTACACCATTTGAGCACTTAATTCTATTTATTCCCACAAGTTTCATGTCTTTTGATATTTATCGACGAACAGAAGATTTCACAGTTATAGAAGTTCTTTTTTCAGTTAGATATACTTATTGTTATAGATAGTTTAAATGCTTAGCGATTAACTAGAATTTCGTGCTCTATTGAATTTATAGAAATAAGTATTCTTTCTCTTTAATTTTAGCCATGTGGAAAATATCGATTTAACACTGTATTAGCAATACTTCATTATGAATATCAACTATCCAATCTTCGTACTGTTCATCGTCTAGATCGTATGACTTCAGGTATATTAATCATGGCTAAATCAGCTGAAAAAGCACGTGCTATTGATTTTAATGCTGATCGTTCATCAACTAATGGTGTTGATAAACTTTATTTATGTCGTGTACGTGGTGAATTTCCTTACACAAACCAAATTGTTCGAGTTGATCAACCAATTGAAACATTTTCATTTCAACTTGGTTTAACGAAAATTGGTGGTAATAAACAATGTCAAACATTGTTTCGTCGTGTAACATATGAAGAATTAAAACAACAACAAGAAATTCATGGTAAATTTATTTTTGATTTAACTGATGAAACAAATGAAAATATTGAGGCAAAAATTGATGAATCATTATATAAATATTTGGATCAAGATGAAACAAAAACAAGTTTAGTTTTATGTCGACCATTAAGTGGTCGAATGCATCAAATTCGTGTTCATTTACAATATTTAGGTTTTCCAATTGTTAACGATCCTCTTTATAATGCTTCAGATATATGGGGTCCATCAAATGGACAATATGGTCGATATGAACATTCAAATGAATACGTGATTGAAACATTTATTAAACGACATAGTTGTGAATATTGGTTACTAAATGATATTGATAATGATGATGAAACAATTAATTTAAATGGTAAACGAATTATGGAACAAGATGAAGAACATAGTCATGATGATGTTAAACGAATTAAAACTGAAGAAATAACAACAATTGATGTGAATGATGATGATGCAGTTAAAGCATATATTAAAGAACATTGTTTTGAATGTTTAAATCGTTTTCGTGAACCATCACCTGATGATCTTGTTATGTTTTTACATGCATTACAATATAAAATTTCCGATGTGACTACTTTTACTAGCTCATTACCTGAATGGGCTCAGGTTTAAAAACAAAAACAAGAACAGATCTTTTTTGTCATACTTCTTTTTATAAATAACAATAATCATATCGAATTCATATTTATCATCCATCCGATAGATCTATGAAAAGAATTCTAAAAATGTTCTAGTCGATTTTTTATTCCAAATAATAGGCGAGTTACCATTGTTTGTATAAATTTTGATAGGAACATTATATAGACCTGTCGATTCCATCATTCAGCAAACAAGACTCGAGAACATCGAAGTATATCGAACTTCGATTGATCACCAATTGATCCATCAGATGAGCACTTCATGAAGATTTTCGAAAACAATATTCTGGAACGAATAACTAGCTTATTGTGAGACTCTCTGATTTCAGCCAATTAACCTATAATCAACAGCAAATGTGGCTAGGCAGCAACAATTCAGCTGCTCAGTCGAATG